CACACCTGATCACACAGGTGACAAGGGCACCAGGGCACCTCTCAGCCCCCATCTGGACAGTGCCTGGCTCCCAACCGGGGATCCCTTTCCTAAGCCAGTGACTGTCTGCCAGGAGGAAACAGGGAAGAATGCTCCTTCCTTTCAGCCCCCCTAGATCTCACGGAAGTGATCTAGCCTGTGTTTTGATTCAAAACAAAGAAACTTTTAAAAAACATTTCAGTTGAAACTTGCATAATTCTTCCAGTGGAGAAACCCTCTCTCAACTTTCGCAATCCTTAGAAAGAGACACATTATTGCCACAGATCAGCCACGGCCACTGCCACCTCCTGCCAGACAGCAGGCCAGGCCCAGAACCGCAGTCTCCTGGAGGCTGTGGTGGCAGCAACTCAGACCTGGGGGGTGGGGCCCCCCCTACAACCGGCTCTAGGGCAGGGCTGGGTTCACACTTGGCCCAGACTTCCTCACATTCTACATCCTGTCTGCCCTTAGACACTTCAGACAGACATTATTACACAAACCAGCTGCAGGGGAGGTTGAGAAACAGGGGAGTCAATGACCTTACTCTTGGAAGCTCCCTGATGACCAAGGGCCTCCAGTGGGCAGCAGAGGACAGAGGTGAGGGACCCAGCTGGCTCCCGGAATAGTCCTGGAAGGTAGCAGGACAGAGAGACAGGCTGACAGATGATGCTAAGAGCACTCAGCCCTTCGCAGAGGTGGATGTGCAGCAGGCCCTGCTCACACAGCCAGCAATGATATGGGCAGAACCTACAGCCCACCTCAAGCTGCTGTCTCTATCTATGAAGACCCACCAGCTGTAGACAGGAGTCACCACCTAGATGGCCATCCCCAAACCAAAGCCCCCTTCTGTTCTGCAAGGGGTCTCTTGGACCAGGGTCTGACCTAGGAATATAGATGGCACTCCATCTTCTTGGCCCAAATGTCTGGAGGAAGGTAAATCAAGTGATGCTAAGAAAGAACAGTACAAGACACACCCCCTGGGGATACTCTCCTTTCAAAAGGAAGGCAGTGGACAAAGGAGAGCTGACCCTTAGAAGGGCACTCAGACCTTCAGGTGTCCAGGGTATTACCCCTGTGGCAATCATCACTTAAGAGCAAACTACAACCGGACATGGTAGCATACAAATGTACTCCCAGCATTAAAGAGATAAGACCCTATCCCCCAAAGTCCAAAAATGCAAACCACAACTCACTGAAAGAAACTCCTGGAACCTAGCACCTCAGGCCAGCCTTTTGCACACCAAAAGTTGCAGCCATGTCCCAAAACACACCCCACAGCTCAGTGTTCCCTAGAGCTGACCACCTGGCCAGCTATCTGGATGAGAAACATGACCCCAGGCCTATTGTCCCACCATGAGGAATTCAGAAAATCCACAAGGGACCATATCAGCAAAAGAAACCCCTGAAAACTCAGGTTCTAGAAGACAGAGGTGTTTTAACCTAAGATGACCTAAGGTCCTGTGTCACCATAGCCTACTTCTCAGACCATGGATGGAGGCCCTACTCTTCCCCAGGAGACACCGCAGCACCCACAGGCAGCCTGCAAAGGCAGTTCTTGGTTATAAGAAATCATCCTGTGGGATTGCGGCCACATCCCAGGAAGCAGATCAAAAAGCAGCTCAAAATGCCACTGTCCATCTCCTTTCCACAAACAGATCTATGCCAATAGACTGAACTCTGCATCAAGTCCAACAGCTATCAGGCAACTTCTAGAGGAAAAGCGAACTGGCCAGGCAGATGAATGCAAGATTCTGAGGTGCCCAACCACTCTGCGCTACCAGCAGAAAAACGAGCATAAGACACAATATACAACATCACGATCAACAAATCATTAGTCACAGAAAAATGAGGCACATAGAAGTTAAGCAACTTGCTCAAGCTCATACAACCAGTGAGGGACAGAGGGGTTACGTGATCACGAGCAACCCAACCCCATCAGATTCCACAGCAGAACTGGCTCACTGCAGGAGATCTTACAAGGCTGGCAGCTGGGGGTCCCTAGGAATTACTCAGAGTATCCAGAGAGCCTACATTTTCTTCCAGGATATATCAGCAGAACACTGGGCCTGACTATCACTGGAAAGATGTGGCCATTTCCTGTCGCCCATGACAGACAGGCATCACAGAGGAAGACTACCAGCTTTCACGTGATCACAACAGTGCAGGATGCCAAGGTCTGGGACACAGCTGCCTACAACAGGTTTTCAGGCTCAAAGCTGGAAATTCTCTACCTCCCAACACACTCAGTTGACCACAGGAACCACAATTCCACCTCAGCCAGGCAGACTCCGCCTGATATAAGTGGACCCCACCTCAGCCAGATGGAAGCCACTCCAGCCAGGCTGCCATAAGGCAGAGCAGCCAAAGGTCATCAAGGCATCTAGGACCCAGGAAAATCACTGACCTCCCCACCTCCCCACCACGGGTATGAGAACCCATCCCTTTCCACAAACACAGGGAAGACATTCAGCTCATGCTTGGTTCAGCAGAGCCCAAGGGCCTGCAGAGAGCAGTATCCCAGTGCAGACTTTGTTCCTCCTCCTCAGTGGATCAAAAGATGAAAATAAGCTACGGAAGAAGAGAATCAAAATACATCCAGTGACTAGAATAAGCTGTCAAGAGATGAGTGGGAAAAAAACCAGTGAGCAGTCACCGAGGCCAGCCCCAGGACAAGCTAAGTCTAGTCAGCCATGTCCATGACCACCTTGACTGACATCTCCTTTCCTGAGTTCATGCAGACAAGTACGTGGCTGTCCTGGGGGGCTGAGAAGGGGCAGGCCAGCCAAAACCTTCAACTACAGAATCAGGAAGCTGCGGGAGGGACAGCACTGACAGCAGGGCTGGGGGTCATCCACAGGCTGGGAGCACCCCACAAGAGAGGATGACATTCCAGTCAGTAAAGCACACAGGAGCTGGTCAGAGTACAAGCACCCAAGCTGAGGCCAACACTGCCTGAGCAGGGCTGAAGAGAAGTCACTTGAGAAAATTCTCTTCCCTCAGTGAATGAGGTCTCAGAGGACTGCCAGGGAAGTTCAACAGAACGGCAACCATAAACCATGGCAGAAATGACCCAAACACATCACCACGGCTCAGCGCACCAGGACAAGCCTGTGGCCTACCACCACGTCTCTACAGTGGTCCAGTCTCTACAGTGGGCCTATGTCTACAGTGGCCTAGTCTATCTAACCCAGGCTATCTTCTAACCCCACGGTGCTCAAATCTCCTCCAGGCCTGAAGACCCTTATATACAGAAGCTTGGTGTAAGGGGAGAAGACAGCAGCCTAGCCTACCCCATGCTGCAGCAGCTGTGACAAAGGGGCCATACCGCCCCCCCCTCCAGGTCTGGAAAGACAGATCGACAATGAAAGCACCCTAGCCAGAGTCAACAAAAACAAACACTGACACACCCAGCTCAGACAAGATTCTTTGCGCCTGCTCTGGAGATAAGGGACAGGAAAGCTTCCCACAGGCAAAGCCACAGCAGTCCCAGACTAAAGTGGCCCCACATCTCTACAGTGGCCCCGTGTCTACAGTGACCCAGTCTCTACAGTGGCCCCATGTCTACAGTGACCCAGTCTCTACAGTGGCCCCGTGTCTATAGTGGCCCCACATCTCTACAGTGGCCCCACATCTCTACAGTGATCCAATCTCTACAGTGGCCCCAGCCAGCCAACATCTCCAACATCTCCATACACATGGCTTCCCCTGGCCACAAAAGCGAACACCCCAAACAGAAAGGCCTCCACTGGCAGAGTCCACACTGCCTGCTGACAGCCAACTCCAGCCCAAGACCTGCCTGCAGCTTCCCCACACCCTCAAGGACTTCACCTGCACAGTGGCCTGGCCGGACAAGACCAGAATACTGGGTCACCCTCGAATCTGCACACTCAGCAGCCCCCACAGAATGAGGCAGGTCCCTCTTCCCAAGCCCCTCCCCCACGACTCTGACACGATGTTGGAGGGGCGCCCAGAGAAAACAGGGCTGTAGCATCTATTCACAGACTTAGAAAAAAAAGTTTGATGCAATAGCTGAATAAATTAGGCCTCTCCAGAATAGCCAAGCCAGTCCAGCAGTCTGCTGTGCAGTTCAGTAAGCTGGACACTGAAAAGTTACAGAGACTTGGGACCCATGACCAAAAGCCCTGTGCACCCCAGTGAATGGTTCAGGCACCCAGTGGCCCAAGAGCTGCCCAAGCAGACCTCGGGAGCCTTCCATCCTCCACGGCCACCGCCAAGCTTCCACCTAAGCCCAAAGGCAACAGAAGGAAATGAGGAGTCAAAGCAAACTGCGGCTCATCAGCAACTCGGACACCACCGTGCTGCCACTGAGCAGGCCAAGTGGCCCTGTCCCCCACGCACAGGGACTCTGGGACTCAGTCTCTGGCAGCCCCAGTGAGACAGAGAAGGACAGGGCTGAAGTGCCAAGTTTCGGCCCAGACAGCTGGTTCCGTGTTAAGTGTCTGTGTCTCCCGACTTCAAGACAAAACAGGACAGCCCAAGCAAACTACCTCCCTGGAAGAACCTTCCCTCTTCCCGGACACAGGGGCAACCGTCACCCAATCTGGACGCCTGGCCAGGGATGCCAAGGCGATCTGGGTCGAGATGCACAACTGGGGCCAGGCAGCCCAGCCTCTCAGAGCTCGAGGGCACTTCCTGGCAGGACCCGCAGAGCTCACTCAGCCCATGTGGGCGAGGGCTGTAAGCCCCCGGGGGCGGAGGGAGGGTGTCGTGGCCATTCGCCTTACCCCTGGGCGCAGAGCTAGGGCAGCAGGCGCCCGGCAGGCAGGAAGCCTTCTTTCCCCGCCATACGGCCCCGACCCCCACACAGAGCACAAGACCCCCGTTTCCCGGAATCACAACAGCCCCAGGCCAAGTAGGGCCAAACCAAAGGTTCCAGGCTTCGGAACCCGGAGCCTCCAGCCCAATCCTCCCACCCCCACCCCTGGGTTATGGTTGCCAGCCGCACATCTGGGGACACTCACCCGGGGCACCCTCCGCTTGTACTTGTTGGCATAGTCGAACTTCTCCTTCACGTCGTCCAGGCAGCGGCCCAAGCGGGCCTGCTCCTCCTTGCCCGTGTAGTCCTGGCTCAGCAGGATGTAGGCCCGCCAGTTGGCCGAGTCGAAGCCCCAGTGGCAGGTCCGGTTCTCCAGGGCTTTGTGCGAGTGCACCACGAACTTGTGCGGCGGGTACATGAGGCGGCAGTCGAGGCACTGGATGCAGGCGGCGCTGGGGCTGCTGTAGAGCTCGGGCACCAGCAGCCCCTTGCACTTGCCGAAGCACTCGTGGTACACGCGGACGCTGCGCTCGCTGAGCTCCAGGCCCAGCGCCAGGCTGGCGGCCAGCTCCTTCTTGCAAGGCGGCGGGTAGGCGCCGCCGTACAGCAGCGCGTTGCACAGGCGCTCGGCGTCCGTCTTGGTGATGAGCCCGCACGAGGGCGCGGAGAAGGGCAGGATGCCCATGACTTTGAGGATCTCCAGCTGGTCGGCCGTGCAACGCGAGCAGTAGATGTGCAGCTCGTCGCACACCGAGTTGATCTGCTGCAGTGAGAAGTCGCGCAGTACCGAGTTGAGGATCTGCGGCAGGCAGAGCCGCTTCTCGCCGCCCACCACGAAGCACGAGATGGTCTCGCCCTCCAGCACCGTCTCGCAGCGCTCGGTGGAGCGGTCGGACGGCATGAAGAAGGGCCCGGGCAGCACGGGCGGCGGCGGCTGGATGGCAGGCAGGTGCAGCACGGGCGGCGGCTCGGCGGCCGTGGGCACCGGCGCCGGCACTGCGGCCGCAGGCAGAGCCGCTTCTCGCCGCCCACCACGAAGCACGAGATGGTCTCGCCCTCCAGCACCGTCTCGCAGCGCTCGGTGGAGCGGTCGGACGGCATGAAGAAGGGCCCGGGCAGCACGGGCGGCGGCGGCTGGATGGCAGGCAGGTGCAGCACGGGCGGCGGCTCGGCGGCCGTGGGCACCGGCGCCGGCACTGCGGCCGCGCCCGCCTCCTTGGCGCTCTCCTTCTTGTAGGCCTCCTGCGCCCATCGCGCCGAGAAGGCGGCCGGGCCGCCCAGC